TATGGGGGTGGATCTGAGGGAAAAGGGGGTCTGTGGGGCAGATCTGTGAGGGAAAGGGGGCTCTGTGGGGCAGATTTGTGAGGAAAAGTGCCCCTTTGGGGGCAGATCTGAGGGAAAAGGGGGTCTATGGGGGCAGATCTGTGAGGAAAAGGGTCCCTACGAGGGCAGATCTGTGAGGAAAAGTGTTCCTATGGGGGCAAATCTGTGCGGAAAAGAGCTCCGTGGGGCAGATCTGTGAGGAAAAGTGTCCCTGTTTGGGTGGATCTGTGAGGAAAAGGGGTCTCTGGGGTCGGGACCGTGTGGAGTGGGGGTCTGTGGGGTCTCTGAGATGATTTCTGTGAGAAAAGGTGCCTCTATAGGGCAGATCTGTGGGGAAACGGGGCTCTGTAGGGCTACGGAGACACAGGGCAGGGGTCTAGGGTGTCTCTGAGGGGCTTTCTGTGGGGAAAGGGCTCTCTATGGGGCAGGTCTGTGGGGAAAGCAGCCCCTATGGGGTCTGGGGGCTCTATAGCCCTGTGAGGATGGAGACTCTGTAGGATGTCCATAGGATTCCAGTGGAACTAGGGTCGCTATAGGGAGTCTATAGGATCCCTATGGGGCTGGGGGCGTTAGGAGGTCCCAAGGACCTCTGGGGTGTTTCTATAGGGGGTGGGAGATCTATAGGAGGGCTATAGAACGCCTATAGAATACATATGGGGGCGTTACCGCAGGTTCATAGGATCTGTATGGGGCTGAAGCCTCTGTAGGGTGTCCATAGGATTCCTAAGGCATTGGGGCTCTATAGGGGATCTATAGGATTCCTATGGATCTCCTCTCTCTGTAGGGGGTCCGTAGGATCTCCAAGGCATTGGGGACTCTGTAGGGGGTCTATAAGATGAGAAAGGGGGCTCTGTAGGGGATCCATAGGGTGTCTGTGGGGCTGGGGACTCTACAGGGGATCCATAGGGTCTCTCTGGGGCTGGGGGCTCTATAGGGCCCCCATAGGGGCTCTGTGGTGTCTCTATGGGGCTGCGCAACCTATGGGGCTCTATAGGGGTCCCTATGGCGTGGCGGGTGGG